GTGTGCGAGAGACTTACCTCCACGTGGTGCACCCTGGGCAACGTATACTCATACGGCAAAAAAGTCTATTAATCGGCAGTTGACTTCTGACTTCAAACTACCAAGACCCCACGGCATTTCATATTCGACTAATTCCACAGTACTCACCTTTTTTCTACCTTTGTGTCTGTCTGTTTCTTTTACGTCTGTGAATCATTATTCTGTCCCCCCTCTCGACTTTTTGCCACTTTGGTGTTCCTCTTTCTAATGATACCTATCATAAATAAATATTTGTTTATTTCAAATGGCAGGCGTTTTGATGGTTATCATTAGCCTTTTAGTTGACTTCAGGCTTCACAGAGGGGAAGGAACATTAAAGTGAAAAAGATTCGAGAGGGGGAGGGGAACAGAAGAGTGTTTCAAAGACGAAGGTAGAGAGGGTAGAAAAAAGGTGAGGTGAGTACTGCGGAAGTAGTCGAATATGACATACAGTGGGGTGATGGTAGTTTGAAGTCAGAAGTCAAGTGCCGATCAATAGACTTTTTTGCCGTATAAGCTTACGTTGCCCAGGATGCACCACGTGGAGGTAAGTCTATCGCACACCCCATATTATATATATATATATATATATATATATATATATGTGTGTGTGTGTGTGTGTGTATTCATTTTTTGTGAGAATACTGTACAGTATTCGATTTGCAGCAAAGAGGGAATAGTTTCAGGCGAGGGGATATGGTGATTTGGACCAGGGGGTTTGATAACTCGTCTTCAGGCCATATGCTGGTGACTTTCCGAAAGGTCGTTTGTATTGTTGATTGAATTCGGGTATTTGACGTTTCACCCACTCCTCTTTTCATAAGGTTTAAGCCAACCAGAATTTGTACACTAAAAGTCCTTTTTCATTGATGTGGTCCTGTCAATAACTAAAAGTATCGTCTTCCTTTCCAGGTACATACACTGGGGGAACATTTGTCACCCTTGCACTTCTCCTTTTTTCCCTCGAATTTCCTCCAGATGTGAATTCACTCTATTACGGACAGAAATTGACCTTGTTGTCCGTTTAGGTCCTGATCAACTAGTTAAACTAGGAAATTTTCTTAGTGTTTTGATTGATTTGTCTTAATCATGACTTTTTACAAGATCTTCTTCTATTCATCTTTGAACTCATTTGCTCATTTTCTGATTAGTATTGTGTGTGTAATTTGTGTTAAGTGCGTTTAAGAATAGGGCATACTAAGTGACCACTTCTGCTCTGGGGTAATTTTCTCACTCCTCCTTTTGTAGCAATTTGGAGCATTTCATATGGCAGTGAGAGGTACAGTAGGATCAAAAATGGCCACAAAACGCCACGCTGAGTTGGCCAGTTTCAGATACATTCCCGCATGGCGTCGACCAATCAGCCTATCAGAAGACTTCAACAATGTCCTCCTAGTTGCATTTGCGCCACAACTTCTCGATTTCCATGATTACACTTTTGGACCTAGGAAATCGATTGCTAGGGGAACATCTATCGCCTTCTACACAATGGCTGAGGTACGTTAGCAAGATTATTTTCTAATACTTGATAATTCATTGTTTATTTTCTTTGAACATTCTATGTAATGGCCACTGTTATTCCTTCAAATATTTCTCGAGACACACACCAATATCGATTATTTACCAATGTGATATGAACAATTTTGTTTAGATTTGTTTTTGCATTCGGAATTGGAACTTTAAATCTACCTTCTTTTGTAAATTATGGCTTTTTTACGTGATTTCTTACAGATCAGACTCATTTTGAAAACGCACAATCATAATTAGTCTTCTGGGACTACAGATATGAAATAACTTTAAGTAATTACTATTAATGCATGGAAGAAGAGGCTGAGAAAACAGCTGAACATAGCGATATCAGGAAGTTGACAGCGACATTCGAAATTTCTGAAGCTTTCTTTTCCTTGACTTCTGGATCCAATAAGATATCTTCTATTTCATGGTGGAAATAACACTGACCATGCAATGAATGACCAATTTTCTTGTTTCCTTTTGCTCCTGCGTGTGTTCGTGTCAGAGATATTCAGGCCTTGTTGGCTAATTAAGGTAGTTGAATTGTTGGTCAAACCACCACCACCACCACCTCCATTCATTCGCATTTGTCCACAGCCGAGAGCAACTAGGTGAAATCAGCAATACTCTTAATTAACTTAATTATAGGTAATTGTCCTCGTAGTATAGTCTCAATAAAGATTATTCATAATCAGAAATAATTAAAATTCGTTATTTATTTCTCTTGCCTTGACACTACGACCACTTTCCTCGAATTTTGTCGCCACCCTTACCTGCAGTTCCTTCACCGTTTCCACTTACGAATTATCGTTTGTTTACTGCCTCTGAACTTTCCCCTTTATTTCACTGTTGTTGTTTCATTTATCACTAAAAAAAAACTCCTTCTATTTACTTAAAAAGCTAGTGCGCAAACTTGTGTGTGTGTGTGTGTGCACGTGGGGAGATAATGGTAAATAATTGCACGATGTGCTACAATGCCTACAATTTCTCAGACTTAGCACAAACACCGAAAATCAATAATTGTTCATTCGGTGCATGGAAAGTACTTTCTTAATGAGTATTATCCTTATGTGTCGGGTCTTTCGTTGTTCTTGTTATACGATCAGTTACTATTTCTGACATTACTTGTCAATCAATTACATTTATTAAGTTTTAATCTACTGAATTCAGAAGTTACTATAAGACCATATGGTTTTCTACAGGTTCTAATTGTTTTTTTCCTAAACTCTAACACAATGATTATTTCAGACCTATTAATCTAAACCCTACTTCTCTGTAGTGCTCGATAAACTACGATTGGAGTAGATTGATACATATCTGTAGAGAATGAATGTGTATCAGCCAATTTTAAATCTTACTCTGACATGGTTTTTACTCTGTTTCTTTTAAATTTTTGGAGTTTCATAATTGGGATTGATTATCGATTTCAACTTGATATTTGTCTCGTAATAGCTCCATTAGCTGAAAACGTGTTTAATTTTATTCCAAGGTCGGATAATATTCATTATACGTGTGCCGGTGAGTTGATTGTTGGTGTGCTCGTTTACGAGGTCAAGGGGTTAAAGGTTCTGTATCCATTAATATTCATCCACTGATGTGGTTGGTCAGCCGCGGGGTTTACTTCACTCCCTTTTACGAAAATCGAGTGCTGTGAAGTATTTCCATGCCTAATATGGTGAAATCAATATTGATCAGTGTACATCCTGTGATGTGGTTGGCTATCCCTACCTTTGTGGTAAAAGTCGAGCACGTTTAAACTCCCATTTTTCAGAATGTTGAGGAAAATATGACCCTTATTGCAGTATATTTTGCAATCAAAGCGTCCTAAATTAGCCGAATCATCAATCTGAGCCTCATATGTCATTAAAGTAAATCTCGGACTCGAGGGGTTAAATTCCTCTTCTTCCTGTCTCTCTCTCTCCTTCTTCGACGTGTCCACCTTGTACCGACGTGTCCACCATTCTTGCCCTATAAATGAGCAATTATTGTTCTAATCTTTAATGTTATTTGAAAAAAAATTATTATATAATTCTTTTGCGTGAAAAATTACTATATATTTGCCTCCCTAATGGATTTCAAATTTATGTATTAAGGTGAAACACTCCTTTCTGCCCATATTACCAAATTTACTTTCAACACTTTGGCATACTTTGGAACTTCAATTGATGGAAGAATAAAAGCCGCAATGGTGGAACAGCCAAAAACTGGATATTTGTAATGGTGTAAAAATTGTCTTAAATTCAAAGCAACAAAATAGTGGAGAGAGAGGTATATAGGTGTGGTTAAGTTGATAAATTAAGGAAAATTTACTCCGCTTTTGACACTTCGTGTCTGCATGTGTTTTACAGCTGATTTATCAACAGTATTCAATTGATCTAATGGTGTGGCGATATTTTCTTGTATATCAGTATTTTTGATAACTTAGATATGGGTTTGAAATCTCCTTTAATGAATATCGATGTAATGTAATGATCGACGGTACAGATTAAAACTGGCCATTAAAGACATTCAGGAATGGTCGATACGCCTGTGGGAAAGTGTTCTGCTTGTGCGTCGATCACGAAATCGGTGCTTATTGGACCCCACCAAGTTTTATTGATGAGCAACCCAATTGATCAAGGTAGGAGGTGGTTTGCTGATAAAAAAAAGGACTGTAGAAGTCCTTTCTCTACCCAATTCACATGTTACCAAAATTGCCTAACTGTGTTTGCAGAACCTCGGTTTTGAGAATTATCGGTGTCATTGCTAGCCTCTGTAGGGCAAAAAAATCTGTTGGAGGCAGACGAAATCTTTCAATAGTACATTCGATTAATAATATGGGAAGTGGATCAAAGATGGTAAGTAAAATCGGATCTTCAATCTGCTCCAAAAGTCGATAAGAGACAAAATTATCTTGCATCGAGGCTGGAAAGGCTGAAATTCTTAAGAACGCAGCTATTTTCACTTAGTATGAACAAATCAATCAACTCTTAATTAATACTTATTTATTTATTTCAAATGGCAGGCTTTATGATATTTATCATTAGCCCTTAATCTTTGCCTTCAGCTTCCCCAAGGGGGGGGGGTACATTTATAGCAGTTAATTAATAGCAATTCATTAGCTGTCTTCTTGCTTCCCAGTATCTTTGGCTTTCCGTCCTTGTCTTTAGGGCTGGACACCGAATCAGGTGGGTCTTCTCCATTTCCTCCTGTAGGTTACATAGAGGGCATGTGGGTTGAGTGTATATTCCTAATCTGTGAAGGTGTTTTGCCAAGCAATCGTGTCCGGTACGTAGTCTAAACTCAGCAACGACTTCGATTCTTGGCCAGTCGGGTATGTCGGAGAGTGCCACTGTCCACTGTTTCTCCTTTGTTCGAGCTTTGAGTTCGTTGAACCTTGAGGTCTGGAATTCTCTCCTGATTAAGGCCTTCATTGTGTGGAAAGACATCGGTCGGTCCATGCATTTCAAAATCGTTGTCCCCTTCTTAGCGAGTGTTTCAGCAAGCTCATTGCCTTTAATGCCACAGTTAATACTATTATAATAATTAATTGAGATTCTGACTAATAGTTTGGAGGAGTTGATAGGCTGGCACTGAGTGTTTACTACTGCAAAGATCACATGGTATTAGGGTGTTCAAGGCAGAATTTATGCCAAGAATAGACTAAAAGTTGATCTAGTAAGTACTTTGATCAAGGAGTCAATTATGCGCATTAATGTTGCATGTAGTAATTCAAATAAAGCCTTCCATTTGAGGCCTTAATTACAATAGCGTTTTTTTGCGTCATTTCCGCATATGTGCGTAAGTCCTCTCTGGGTGGAATGGAACTCGATTTGGCTCCAGTATCCCTCGTATTATTCGAGAACAGGCAGATTGGCAAGTATCAAATAAGAGGTATTTTGCATTAACCGTTACTTACAAGAATTTTCATATTGGTGTGTATACTTTGCCAAAGGGGTGTCATTTATAGCAATGATTGTCTACAGTAGAGCACTGACACTTTATTCCATATTCGCATTCCTGAACCAGATCCTAAGCTCAACAATTTGAAAAAGGTATGACTTATGAGGGCGATCCTTGCTTTAGCTGTATATGTTTGCTTGCTGAATTGTGCTTATTGCGCATCCCTTGGGAGAGTGGAATTCAACTTGATCAGAGTCTCGTTCTCATTGCTCACATGCAGTCTGGCAAGGAATTCGAGATTCCGGTATTGACAGTAGGTATTTATTTATTTATTTCAAATGGCAGGCGTTTTGATAGCTATCATTAGCCATTTAGCTGACTTCAGGCTTCACAGAGGGAAAGTCCATCAAAGTAGAAGAAAGTCGAGGGGTGGGGTACAGAAGAGCGATTCACAGATGTAAAAGAGGCAGACAGACACAAAGGTAGAGAAAAAGGTAAGATGTGTACTGCGAAAGGGGTCGAATATGACGTACAGTGGGGGTGATGGTAGCTTGAAGTGAGAAGTCAACTGCCAGTTAATAGACTTGTTTGCCGTATGAGTATACCGTTAACTGCCAGTTAATAGACTTTTTGCCGTATGAATATAACGAAAGCCGAGTGATAGACTTTTTTGCCGTAAGAAAATACGCTGCCCAGGGTGCACCACGTGGAGGTAAGTCTATCGCACACAAACTTCCGGTTAATAGACTTTTTACCGTATGAGTATACGTTTCCCAGGGTGCACCACGTGGAGGTAAGTCTATCGCACACCCACCAGGGTGCACCACGTGGAGGTAAGTCTATCGCACACCCCTTGACAGTAGGTATCATCTGTACTCTCAATCATTGTTCAAGTAATACTTCAATTATATTCTTCTCATTTTTTTGTACCTTTCTTCTCCCACTGCAACACACAATTTGTTGGCGTTTTGTCTAAGTAATGAGGAGGTGGGATGAATGATGTTATAATTGAATCATTTAACACCATTTCCAGTTGCCGTATTGAATACTAGATTTGCACCAATTTTCCCCATTTTAATTTCACTGAGGAAGATGTGAAATTAATAATTATTTCAATTTAATAGTTAATAAATTGAAATTCCTACATGCCTTTCTCTGCTGAATTGAATTCCACTTATCACGAAGGCCGCAAATCCAATATTCCAACGTGCTAGGAAATCTGGATTTGAACTATTCTTATTATCATCTACTGCATAGACTGCACTTTCAAAGAGTCTATTTTTTTGTTTTTTATGGTCTCCAGATTGATGTGTATTTCGGAATCGTGATTTACAACTGTTTGATGGGTAGGACCTCCACCGGTCCGTCTTACCTCTCTGACAACCCCAGAAAGTGTGAGCGAGATGATTTTCTCGTAAGTCAACTCTTTTATCACTTCTTACAATTTGATTGATTCGTTATTTCTTTACAATGTGCTGAAGACCTCTAACTGCATTGATACGCATTGCTATGCAATATTTTTATAAGGATCTTACTAATAGTTAAGCTAATACTCACCTAGGTCGAATATTGCAAACGCGTTGACGCCTGAACTTAAGATACTATTTGGAGAATGAACTAGGTATTTTTCGACTCTGAAGTGAAGTATGTTTGAGCTACACCCTATCCCCCCCCCTCCTTTGTTCCTAAGATTTCTAGAGCCGTTTCTTTTGGATCGAAGTCAGCTTTAGCTATGACTAAGACTTTCAGTATTATTTTCTTGCGCGTAATTTTGTCTTGTATTTCAGCTTCCCACACTGAAACAAAATTCCTACTGTCCCTCTTACCCGATGAATTATCCAATTAGTGGTTCTCTATTGTCGGAGCGTTTGTCTGCTCAACCGATTTTGATGCTTGATGCGGATGTCACTGGTATGGCAATCACTCGTGTTGCGGAAGAGTTCACAGTTCTTGTCATAACTACAGATGAAGGAGAATTCGCCAAGGTTAGTATATTTGACTTGACTCTCCTATGTTTGCATGAGTATTCAAATCCTACTTGTCATTACTCGGAGAGTAGCATGATTTCCTAAAAAGAAGTTGAATGAAGTGAAGGTTCAGTGGAACAATTTCACATTCAACTCCCTCTTCTTGAGACCAGATTTTGCCAATTCGAGTGACAATGTGCATAATTGGGTGTGGATCGATATACATCGGTCATAAAATTCACGTTCACAGTTCTCTTTGCCTTACTAATAAGGATTTGATAGCGGCCAGATCTAGTAACCCTTTAATGCCCGAATTATTAATTTTTGGAAATTGCACCCAACCACACTCACTCGTGTCTCACAGCAGACTGATGCCGCTGATGTGATGACACGTGCTGAACATGTTTCAAAAGACAATAGCGCCTTCTGTTACGAGTCTAGCACCAGTGGAGCTTATTTCGAAAGAGGACCGTGCGGTCCTATTTGCATCAAAGGGTTTGATTAACGCCTTTTAGTCTAACAGTGATCAACGGCTGATGATTTCCATGTCTGCCTAGAGCTCCCGGTTCAAGTTTTTTGCTTGTTGCATCAGAGTGGCTTTTGGCATCAGGGAAAATCACATTAAAAATTATGATAAACAACATCACTCTGTTTATTTCATGTTTTTGATGACCGTTACGAGCAGTCTTGCTTTTGGTTCTCTATTTATGAAACTATGTGTGGGCATTTGGCATGTTCTGCCCAAAATTTCAGCTCTGTACTTGGCGCCAGTAGCAGCACCCATTTTCCAAATCTTTTATCAAATAGAAAAATCCTAGCGTTGTGCGGTGGATCAGAAAGTGTAGAAACTATTTGAATGCAAACAATATATGTCCAATTCTTCCTGTAACCGAATTTCCCTGATGTAGGTCGCAATTGCACTTTGTCGCTATTGCCTACCTTGATTGGAACTATAACGAGCTCCGTTATTATTGGAACCACTTCATTGCTGTTTTCAAATAGCTTTACTTCACTTAGTGGAAGTGGTGATAGCATATCAGCATGGTTGGGTGAAAACACTGTTGATTCAATAAACTGTTGTATTGCCATTGGAAAATTGAAATTACATTAACTAATTTTATTGCCTATTTTTATTTAGACCACTGAAATAAGAGCCTGATATTTTATTTATATCAAATGGTGGGCTTCTTGATAGGTATCATCAGCTCTTTAGTTGACTTCGGGCTCCATAGCGGGGAGCAACATCAAAATCACAAAAAGTCGAGAAGTGGAACAGAAGGATGATTCACAGACGTAAAACAGACAGACACAAAGGCAAAGAAAAAGATAGGGCGATGTGAGTACAGTGGAAGTGGTCGAATATAACACAGTTGGTCATGGTAGTTTGAAGGGAGAAATCAACTGCTGGTTAATTGACTTTTTTGCCTTATGAGTATACGTTGCCCAGTGTTCCCCACATGGAGGTCTATTGTGTACCCCAGAGTATGGCATACATTTTAATAAGTTGAGTAACCCGAGAATTGGTTATAGATAATGGTGGAGTGATGGGTGAATAGATGTTCATCCATCGTTCCTTATTTACGTAGGTCAGTGCTCTTAATGTCTAAAGAATGCGAATAGGTATCTGAAAATCGAACAGGTTGAGCAAATACAGAATTTATGTCAATAATATTGATAATGATGCCTGCAAAGACTCTAGGATTCGAAATGTCCTAAGAGTTCCATCCCTTTTCACGATCGTAGAGGAGTTGAACAGGCCATAGGCTTACTAGATACAGGATCC